ATTCTGCCAGCCCAACTCGGCAGCACCCGACACCCTGCGGAGACATCAGGAGGAGCCACTCCCAGGACCCCAGTGCGGCACCGGTTCTGAAGCAAGTGAGTGACAGCCACGCTCATGCTCGGCACAGCCCTGGAGCCAGGGCCCCGCCCCACCCACACGTGTCCGAGGTGCCAGTCCCCGTGGGAACAGCCCGGAGTCCAGAAATGCCCACATCGCAGTCCCACACCTCAAAAACTCTGTGCAAGGGAACCCCCCACCCAACACACGGACTACAACTCCCAGAAGCCTCAACAACGCCACGCTTCCGGTTAGGCCACCGTGAACTTCCGGCCACAGCTGCAGCCACGTTGGAGGTGCCCATGGGCTGGCAGGGTGTGGTGCGGTGGCTCTGGTTGACACAGAGCTGGGGGTGAATGCGCCTTCTTACACCTCCCCCACGGCCAAAGGTGGCCGTGATGGGCCCCACGTGTCTGATGTGATCTGTCCCAAGCTCTGTGCCATCATGCTACTTGGGAGGCTGAGGCAGAATTCTTTGAACTACTAAGCCAAGATACCATCACTGAACTCCAGCATGGGCCATAGAGCAAGACGCTGTCTGAAAAGAAAAAAAAAAAAGGAGTGACAGAGAATCTCAGAAACAGACATATTTGCAGATCAGGAATATTGAGATGATTATGTAAATAGAGAAATGCTGTGAAAACTAAACTTTCTCTGGTGGGGATTGGGGTTAGTCAACCAATTTCCACCAGACAGAACATAACATGCATCAATTATCTATAATTTTTCAAGTGGTATAAAATACCTTACATATAATGAACAAGGCTGAACTCAAAAGCATGGTCTTCCAAATGTGCTTCATTTTCTGTTAAAATGCAATTTTCTTTTTCTGCTTATACCTCATCCTCTTCAGGAAGTAGAGTTCTGGGTAATTTTTTTCTTTTTTTTTTTTTTTTGAGACGGAGTTTCGCTCTTGTTACCCAGGCTGGAGTGCAATGGCGCGATCTCGGCTCACCGCAACCTCCGCCTCCTGGGTTCACGCAATTCTCCTGCCTCAGCCTCCTGAGTAGCTGGGATTACAGGCACGCGCCACCATGCCCAGCTAATTTTTTGTATTTTTAGTAGAGACGGGGTTTCACCATGTTGACCAGGATGGTCTCGATCTCTCGACCTCGTGATCCACCCGCCTCGGCCTCCCAAAGTGCTGGGATTACAGGCTTGAGCCACCGCGCCCGGCCCTTTTTTCTTTTTTTGAGATGAAATTTCACTCTTGTTGCCCAGGATGGAGTGCAAAGGTGTGATCTCGGCTCACTGCAACCTCCGCCTCCCATGTTCAAGCAATCCTCCTGTCTCAGCCTCCTGACTAGCTGTGATTACAGGCGCCTGCCACCATGCCCAGCTAATTTTTGTGTTTTTAGTAGAGATGGGGTTTCACCATGTTGGCCACACTGGTCTCGAACTCCTGACCTCAGGTGGTCCTCCTGCCTTGACCTCCCAAAGTGCTGGGGTTACAGGTGTGAGCCACTGCACCTGGTCAGAAATACCCTTTAAAAAGGAGAGGAGAAAAGGTCAATTTCCCTTTTGGCAAATAAGACAAATTTATTTTTTTTTCTTTTTAGAAAATCCATACAGTGAGGGCCAGACACTGTGGCTCACATCTGTAGTTTCACCACCTTGGGAGGCTGAGGCAGGCAGACTGCTTGAGCCCAAGATTTTGAGACCACCCTGGGTAACATGGGAAAACCTGGTCTCTACCACAAATACAAAAATTAGCTGGGCATTGTGGTATATGCTTATTGTCCCAGTTAATCTGGAGGCTGAGGCACAAGAATCGCTTGAACATGGGAGGCAGAGGTGCAGTAAACTGAGATGGTGCCACTGCACTCCAGCCTGGGCAACAGAGAGAGACAAATAAGACAAAGTTAAACTTTGGGAAGAAGGGAGGGAGGGAGGGAGAGAGAAGAGGAAGGGAGAGGAAGGGAAAAACAAAGGAAGGAAATCCATGCAGTCCAAATAGCAACAACCAAGAAGTTGGTAAAAATTGAATAAATAAGTTTCTAAATATAATATTACAGGCTGGGCACAGTAGCTCATGCCTGTAATCCCAACACTTTGGAAGGCAGAGGTGAGTGGATCCCCTGAGGGCAAGAGATCAAGACCAACCTGGCCAACATGGTGAAATCCTGTCTCTACTAAAAATACAAAAAAAAAAAAAAAAATTAGCCAGATGCAGTGGCACACGCCTGTAATCCCAGCTACTCAGGAGGCTGAGACAGGAGAATCGCTTGAACCTGGGAGGTGGAGGTTGCAGTGAGATAGCAATTGCACTCCAGCCTTGGAGATGGAGGCTGCAGTGAGCTATGATCTCACCACTGCACTCCTGCTTGGGGGACAGGGCAAGTCTCTGTCCCCCAAAAATAAAAGAAATAGAATATATTTTGCCAAAATCCTGCCTTCTACAGGCATCTAGTCTAATGGGACTGGGAGAAATCAGGGCAGATGTCCTAATCCCAATGTCACATTATTATAGGATGTCACTGGCCTGCTATGGGCGTGCAGAGGTGGGAAGATGAGGGAAGGCATCACAGAGGCTGTGAGGTGAACTGACGTCAAGGAATGGGTGCTTCCCTTCAGAACCACACATGTGCAGGACCCCAGACAGAAAACACAGATGCAAAGTCGAGTGGCAGGCATTTGGAAGGAGCGGTGAAACCAAGCCAGGAAACACCAGGATGGTGAGCCGGTTTGGCTGCAAAGAGATTGTAAAGAGGGTGGAATTGGCGCTGTGAACCTGGCCTCGATTTCAAAAGACATCAGCTAAGGAAGCTGTTGAGGTGGGCAGTGGGGGTTCAGACCCGTGCTGCTTTGGAGAGATGTTCAGGCTGCACTAGGAAGCCCCCTGGCTTGGGGAGAGGCTCCAGGAGACCCCAGCAGGGAGCATTTGGCAGTGGACTGGAGTGAAGCGAAGGAGACCTGAATTATTATTTATTTGGAGACTCTGCCGCTAAATGAATAAACAAATAAAGCAGACGGGATAATGAGCAGAACATATTTTATCGTAAAAACGCACTCTCAAAGAATATATGAATAACAGATTCATTATGCCATTCTTACAAGCCCAAAAGGATTTTTTTTTTTTTTTTTTTTTGAGACGGAGTTTCGCTCTTGTTACCCAGGCTGGAGTGCAATAGCGCGATCTCGGCTCACCGCAACCTACGCCTTCTGGGCTCAGGCAATTCTCCTGCCTCAGCCTCCTAAGTAGCTGGGATTACAGGCACGCGCCACCACGCCCAGCTAGTTTTTTGTATTTTTAGTAGAGACAGGGTTTCACCATGTTGACCAGGATGGTCTAGATATCTCGACCTCGTGATCCACCCGCCTCGGCCTCCCAAAGTGCTGGGATTACAGGCTTGAGCCACCGCGCCTGGCCCAAAAGGATTTTTAAAAGAAAACGATGATGTAAAATACTATGAACATGATTTTGGCTCACTACAACCTCCGCTTCCTGGATGTAAGCGATTATCCTGCCTCAGCTTCCCTTGTAGCTGGGATTACAGCCCAGGATCACACCACTCCGGCTAATTTTTTTTTTTTTTTTTTTTTGAGACAGAGTTTCACTCTTGTTACCTAGGCTGGAGTGCAATGGCGCGATCTCAGCTCACCGCAACCCCCGCCTCCTGGGTTCAGGCAATTCTCCTGCCTCAGCCTCCTGAGTAGCTGGGATTACAGGCACGCGCCACCATGCCCAGCTAATTTTTTTTTTTTTTTTTTGAGACGGAGTTTCGCTCTTGTTACCCAGGCTGGAGTGCAATGGCGCGATCTCGGCTCACCGCAACCTCCGCCTCCTGGGTTCGGGCAATTCTCCCGCCTCAGCCTCCTGAGTATCTGGGATTACAGGCACGCGCCACCATGCCCAGCTAATTTTTTGTATTTTTAGTAGAGACGGGGTTTCACTATGTTGACCGGGATGGTCTCGATCTCTCGACCTCGTGATCCACCCGCCTCGGCCTCCCAAAGTGCTGGGATTACAGGCTTGAGCCACCGCGCCTGGCCCAAAAGGATTTTTAAAAGAAAACGATGATGTAAAATACTATGAACATGATTTTGGCTCACTACAACCTCCGCTTCCTGGATGTAAGCGATTATCCTGCCTCAGCTTCCCTTGTAGCTGGGATTACAGCCCAGGATCACACCACTCCGGCTAATTTTTTTTTTTTTTTTTTTTTTTTTGAGACAGAGTTTCACTCTTGTTACCTAGGCTGGAGTGCAATGGCGCGATCTCAGCTCACCGCAACCCCCGCCTCCTGGGTTCAGGCAATTCTCCTGCCTCAGCCTCCTGAGTAGCTGGGATTACAGGCACGCGCCACCATGCCCAGCTAATTTTTTGTATTTTTAGTAGAGACAGGGTTTCACCATCTTGACCAGGACGGACGGTCTCGATCTCTTGACCTCGTGATCCACCTGCCTCAGCCTCCCAAAGTTCTGGGATTACAGGCTTGAGCCACCGTGCCTGGCCTAATTTTTTATATTTTAGTAGAGACGAGGTTTCACTGTGGTAACTAAGATGGCCTTGAACTCCTGACCTCATGATCTGCCCCCCTTGGCTTCCCAAAGTGCTGGGATTACAGGTGTGAGCCCCGGTACCCACCCCCTATGTTTTTCTTCAAACTGGCTGCCAGGTTGGAATAACCAGTGACATTAGAGATTCCAGTCTTCCTGATTGGACTGAACTGTGTTGGCGCTTGGGAGCTCAGGTGGATGACAGCATCTTCTCAGAGTTGTTCTCCACTCCCGAATTCTCCCCAGCCTTGAGAATACAGAATGTACTCTTCTGTGTCCTAGTCAAGTCTGGACAAAGGCTTTGGACAGAACAGTGACTAGGTTCCGTGGGAGAGAACAGAGTTTGGGAGAGATCATGCCTAGATGTCAACCGCAGCCCCAGGTTGAGGAGAGAAGCCCCCAGCCTAGCACCTCGGGGTACTCCCTTCTGGAGGTGGTAGGTGATGAAGTGCCAGGACCACCAGGTGAGGGAACTGGAGCAAGAAGAGATGGGAGAGGAGTGACTAAGAAGAAGGAAGGGGGCCGGGCGCAGTGGCTCACACCTGTAATCTCAGCACTTTGGGAGGCTTACGTGGGTGGATCACCTGAGGTCAGGAGTTTTTTTGTTTTGTTTTGTTTTGTTTTTAGGTCAGGAGTTTGAACCCAGCATGGCCCACATGGTGGAACCCTATCTCTGCTAAAAATACAAACATGATCCTGGTAATACTGGTGCACATCTCTAATCCCAGCTACTCAGGAGGCTGAGGCAGGGAAAAGCGCTTGAGCCTCAAAGGCAGAGACTGCAATGAGCCGAGATCCTGCAACTGCACTCCAGTCTGGGTGAGGGAGTGAGACCCTGTGTGGGGGAAAAAAAAAAAAGAAGAAGAAGAAGGAAGAACCCAGTCATCAGAAAGGAACACTTGAGGTGGGTATGGGGGAAGAAAGAAGGGACTCAGGCCAGGCACAGCGGCTCACACCTGTAATCCCAGCATGCTGGGAGGCCAAGGCAGGTGGATCACATGAGGCTGAGTTTGAGACCAACCTGGCCAACGTGGTAAAATCCTGTATCTACAAAAAATATAAAAATGAGCTGGGAATTGTGGTGGGCACCTGTAATCCCAGATACCTGGGGGGCTGAGGCACAAGAATCACTGGAACCCAGGAGACGGAGGTTGCAGCAACCCGAGATGGCAACACTACACTCCAGCCTGGGCAACAGAGAAAGACTTTGTCTCAAAAAAAAAAAAAAAGGAGGGAGTCAGAGATCCAGGGACTAGGGAAGGAAATGAAGCATTCTGAGGACAGAAAGATGGAAGAATGGGGAGGAGAAAGAGAAGCACATGGGGTTCATCAAGGGAGAAAGATGGAAAGATGGCTTGCAGGAGCCAACAGTCTGTGGGGCTGGGGAGGATGGAGAGTCGATTGGGGTTTGAGGTCGGGGTCTAAGGTGATCAATTGCAGAAGCATTACATGGTGGCCTGCTTTCTTTACTCATCTCCTTGGGTAGATTCCAGCTCGCCTAATTTCCTTTCTTGGCAAAAGAGGAGGGACTGGTCGGACGAATCTGAGGAGGAGCTGGAGAAGGAGACAGAGAAGGAGCGCGCCCCTGAGCCTGAGGAGACCTGGGTGCTGGACACCCTGTGTGGGCTCAAGATGAAGCTAAAAAGACGGCGAGTGTCACCCGTGCTCCCTAAGAACTACGAGGCCTTCAACACGCTGCTTGGTAGGAGGACACCCCAGAAAGCACCTCTAATCCTGTTCTTTTAAAATAGAGGACAGTTTCTATAACCATGCTTTCCCAATGGGAAATGCACCCCAGTGGGTGAGCTCTCCATGTGGGAGGACTCAGAGGATCCTATAAGCATCACTCCTGAGAGACACTTGGGAGGCCACAGACAATCTGACTAGACTTGAAAAAGGTCAGTTATAGGGATAAGAAAGCTTGGTTTCTCAGGCCAGGCACGGTGGCTCATGCCTGAGATCCCAGCACATTGGGAGGCTGAGGCAAGAACATCACTTGAATTGAGGACTTTGCGGCTGCAGTGAGCTATGACTGCACCACTGCACTCCAGCCTGGGTGCAGAAGCAAAACCCTGTCTCAGAAGAAAAACCAAGGCTGGGTGCAGAAGCTCATGTCTGTAATCCCAGCACTTTGGGAGGCCAAAGTGAGTAGATTATCTGAAGTCAAGAGTTCGAGACCAGACTGACTTCCATGGTGAAAGCCCATCTCTACCGAATATACAAAAATTAGACAGGCATGGTGGTCCACGCCTGTGACCCTAGCTACTCAGGAGGCTGAGACAAGAGAATCATTTGAACCCAGGAGGCAGAGGTTGCAAGTGAGCCAAGGTCACGCCACTGCATTCTATCTTGAGTGGCAGAGTGAGAGTCTCTCTCCAAAAAATAAATAACAATAAAAGAAAGAAAAACTCAAAAAACAAAACAGTTTTAGCTTTGTCATCTGAAACTTAATGTCCCTTGCTCACTTTTCTCATTCATTCATTCATTCATTCATTCGAGACGGAGTCTTCCCCTATCACCCAGGCTGGAGTGCAATGGTGCAATCTCGGCTCACTGCAACCGCTGCCTCCCAGGTTGAAGCGATTCTCCTGCCTCAGCCTCTCGAATGGCTAGGATTATAGGCCAGCACCACCACACCTAGCTAATTTTTTGTATTTTTATTAGAGATGAGGTTTCACCATGTTAGCCAGGATGGTCTCCAACTCCTGACCTCATGATCTGCCCGCCTCGGCTTCCCAAAGTGCTGGGATGACAGGTGTGAGCCACCGTGCCTCACCTCTATGTTTTTCTTCAAACTGTTTCCCAGGTTGGAATGACCAAAGATATCTGCAGTTCCAACCTTCCTGATTGGAAGGACCAAACTCCGTGGGCGCTTGGGAGTTCAGGTGGACAACAGCATCTTCTCAGAGCTGTTCTCCACGCCCGACTTCTCCCCAGCCTTGAGACTAGAGAACGCACTCCTCTGAGTCCTAGTAGAGTCTGGATGAAGGCTTTGGACAGAACAGGGACCAGGTTTCATGGGAGGGAACAGAGTTTGGGAGAGATCATGGCTGGCTGTCAACCTCAGCCCCAGGTTGAGGAAGAGAGTCCCCACCCTAGCACCTCAGGGTACTCCTCCCAGATGTGGTGGACAATGAAGTGCTAGGACCATCAGGCGAGGGGACTGGAGCAAGGAGAGATGGGAGAGGACTGACCAAAAAGAAGAGGAGGGCCAGGCACCGTGGCTTATGCCTGTAATCACAGCATTTTGGGAGGTCATGGCGGTTGGATCACCTCAGGTCAAGAGTTCAAGATGAGATTCCCAAAATGGTGAAACCCTGCCTTTACTAAAATAACAAAAATTACCCAGGCAGTAGTGGTGCATGCCTATAATCCTAGCTACTTGGAAGGCTGAAGCAGGAGAATTATTGAGCCTGGGAAGCGGAGGTTATGGTGAACTGAGATTGTGTCTCTGCATTCCAGTTTGGTTGAGAGAGTGGGACCCTGTCTCAAAAAAGAAAGGAAGAAAGAGAGAAAGAAAGACCCAGAAGTCAGGAAGGAGAACCTGAGGGAGTGTGTGGGGGAAGAAAGGAGGGACTTAGGCTGGGTGCAGTGGCTCACACCTGTAACCCCAGGACTTTGGGAGGCCAAGACAGGAGGATCACTTGAGGCCAGGAGTATGAGACCAGCCTGGCCAACATGGTAAAACCCTGTCTCTACTAAAAGTACAAAAATGAGCTGGGTGTTATGGTGGGCACCTGTAATCCCAGCTACTTGGGAGGCTGAGGCAGGAGAATCACTGGACCCCAGGTGACAGACGTTGCAGCGAGCCGAGATTGCACCACAACAATCAGCAATCCAGCTTGGGTGACAAAGCAAGACAGTCTCAAAAAAAAAAAAAACCAGCAACAAAAAAAACAGGGGCTCAGAGAGCCAGGGACCAGGTAAGGAAATGAGGAAGCGTTCTGAAGACAGACAGGTGGAAGAATGGGGAGGAGGAGGAGAGGCACATGGGGTTCAGCAAGGGAGAAGCCAACAGTCTGCGGGGCCAGGGAGGATGGAGAGTGCCTTGGGGTTTGGGGTCGGGGTCTAAGGTGATCAATTGCAGAAGCATTACACGGTGGCCTGCTTTCATTACTCATCTCCTTGGGAAGGTCCCAGTTCGCCTTGGTTCCTTTGCCGGAAAAGGAAGAGGGAGTGGTCGGACCAATCTGAGGAGGAGACTGAGGAGGGGACCGAGGAGGAGACAGAGAAGGAGCGTACCCCTGAGCCTGAGAACTGGGTGCTGGAGACGCTTCAGGCGCTGAAGATGAAACTGAAGCGACAGCGAGTGTCACCCAAGCTCCATAAGCACCACCAGGCCTTCAACAGGCTGATTGGTAGGAGGACACCCCAGAGAGCACCTCCAATCCCATTCCTTTAAAGAGGAAACTTCCCGTAACCATACTTTTCCCATGGGAAATATATGCTTCCCCAGTTGGTGAGCTCTCCATGCCTAAGCACTCAGAAGTGATCACTCATGGCCGGGGGCAGTGGCTCAAGCCTGTAATCCCAGCACTTTGGGAGGCCGAGGCGGGTGGATCACAAGGTCAAGAGATCGAGACCATCCTGGTCAACATGGTGAAACCCCGTCTCTACTAAAAATACAAAAAATAAGCTGGGCACCGTGGCGCATGCCTGTAATCCCAGCTACTCAGGAGGCTGAGGCAGGAGAATTGCCTGAACCCAGGAGGCGGAGGTTGCAGTGAGCCGAGATGGCGCCATTGCACTCCAGCCTGGTAACAAGAGCGAAACTCTCTCCAAAAAAAAAAGAAGTGATCACTCATGAGGGACTTAGGAGGCCATAGACGATTCAGCTAGACTTGCTCAAGGTCTGTGATTGGGGTAAGAAAGCTTGGTTTCGGGCCAGGCTCACGTCTCATGCCTGAGATTCCAGAAGATTGAAAGGCTGAGGCAGGAGGACCACTTGAACCAAGGAGGCAGAGGTTGCAGTGACCTACGATTAATTAAGCCACTGAACTCCAGCCTCAGTGAAAAAGCAAGATGTTTTCTTAAAACAAAACCAAACTCAAACACCAGTTTAAAAATAAAAGAATAAAACCAAAGGAAACATCCACCCCTCCTAAGGGGAGAGGAAAAGGAGCAGACACGACGCCTCCCCAGCCACAGCCACTTCTGGTTCTTCTCTCTCCTTCCCACATCAGCCCCAAATGCAATGGTTCATCGTCCTCCTCCGGGTTCCCATGACAGAAGCCACAGCTCAGGCCCCCTCGCTTCACTTGAATCCACTGCTAAAATGCTCCCTGCTGGGGTCTCCTGGAGCCCCTCCCCAAGCCAGGGGGCTTCCTAGTGCAGCCTGAACATCTCTCCAAAGCACAGGTCCCACGCCCCACTGCTCACCTGAACAGCTTCCTTAGCTGATGTCTTTTGAAATCGAGGCCAGGTCCACAGTGACAATTCCCCCCTCTCTACAATCTCTCTGCAGCCAAACCAGCTCGCCATCCTGGTGTTTCCTGGCTTGGTTTCACCGCTCCTTCCAAATGCCTGCCACTCGACTTTGTGTCTGTGTTTTCTGTCTGGGGTCCTGCACATATGTGGTTCTGAAGGGAAGCACCCATTCCTTGACGTCAGTTCACCCCACAGCCTCTGTGATGCCTTCCCTCATCTTCCCACCTCTGCACGCCCATAGCAGGCCAGTGACATCCTATAATAATGTGATATTGGGATTAGGACATCTGCCCTGGTTTCTCCCAGTCCCATTAGACTAGATGCCTGTAGAAGGCAGGATCTTGGAAAAATATCAATGTATTCTACTTATTTTATTTTTTTTGTGACAGAGACTCGCTCTGTCCCCCAAGCTGGAGTGCAGTGGTGAGATCATAGCTCACTGCAGCCTCCATCTCTTGGGCTCAAGTGATCCTCCCATCTCAGCCTCCTGATTAGCTCAGACTATAGGGCTGTGCTATCACACCTGGACAATTATTTACATATTTATTAAATTTTATTTATATTTTTAATTTTTTTTTTTGAGATGGAGCCTCACTCTGTCAACCAGGCTGGAGTGCAATGGCACCAACTCGGCTCACTGCAACCTTTGCCTCCCAGGTTCAAGCGATTCTCCTGCCTCAGCTTTCTGAGTAGCTGGGACTACAGGCCCATGCCACCAGGCCCCGCTAATGTTTTGTATTTTTAGTAGAGACGGTGTTTCGCTGTGTTAACCAGGATTGTCTCAATTGCCTGACCTGGTGATCCACCTGCCTCGGCCTCCCAAATTGCTGGGATTACAGGCGTGAGCCACTGTGCCCATCCTATGTATTTATTTATTTTGAGACAGTGTATTGCTCTGTCTCCCAGGCTAGAATGCAGCAGACCTATCTCGGCTCATTACAACCTCAGCCACCTGGGTTCATGTAATTCCTGTGCTTCAGCCTCTGGAGTAGCTAGGACTAAGGTGTGTGCCACCACACCAGGGGATTTTCGTATTTTTAGTAGAGATGGGATTTCGCCATGTTGAACAGGTTGGTCTCAAACTACTGGCCTCAAGTCATCCACCCTCTTCGGCCTCCCAAAGTGCTGGGATTCCAGGCCTGAACTACCACTCTCAGCCACCAGATGGCTTTTGGTCTCCATCCTAAAGGTGTGAGGGACGCCCTTCAGCAGGCCTCTGTCCAGCAGGGCCCTCCTGAGGAAGGCACGGCTCTCTGCAGGGTGGGTGCCAGTCCCGAGCTGAAGACGGTCTCCCCTCCCTCCTCTCTGGGAAGCCGACCTCAGCCGGAGGTCTCTCCTGGTGGTGCCCCTGAGCAGCAGCCTGATTTCTGCCCCCAGCTACCTGGCCAATGACATGGAGGAAGACGACGAGGGCCCCCAAACAAGCCATCTTCTACTTCCTGTATGGGAAGAACCGCTCCCAGCAACCCTTGTTCCAGAAGCTTTACTTCTAGTTCTTCTGTTCCATGCACTGCAGGGCTTGGGTTTCCCTGAAGAAGCTGGAGGAGGTGGGTGGGGTGTGGGGAGGTGGAGGAGGTGGGAAGGAATCGGGTGGTTGGAGGCTGGATGAGGGGATGGAGGGGTCTCCTTGGGAGTCCCTGTCTTCTCAAGGGGCATTTGTTTTTGCAGATCCAGGCTTATGACCCAGAGCACTGGGTGTGGGCACGAAATCATGCCCTCCTTTCCTAGAGCTCCAGGGACCATGGAGGCCTGAGGTCATCGGCCTGAGGGAAGTATGTCTTCGTCCCCCAGGGTCAAGGCAGAATATTGTGTCTATTTAGGAAACCCAAGGAACCCAATTGCTTGACCCGGCTTCAAGCCTGGGCAACATGGCGAGATCCACTCTCCACAAAAATTCACATATTAGCTGGGCAGGGTAGGAGGCATCTCTATTCCCAACTACTCGGGAGGCTGAGGAAGGATCACTGGAGCCTGGGGGGTCGGGGCTGCAGGGAGCCCTGACCCTGCCACTGTACTCCAGCCTGGTCAACACAGCGAGACCCTGTCTCAAAATTCATCAGAAATACTGAGTTCCGGGAGGTTCTGTAGGATTGACACACTTGGATTACCTATTTGGGTCAGGGATTCAGTGAAGCTTTGGTTTACATCTTGTGCAGCTAACCACGTTGAGGACTCAGCATGAGACTTAAACATTAGGAAGTAGGATTATGGATTAGGCTCCGGGACTCATGATTCGTGATGTTGTCACGTTAGAAACGTATCTAGTGTGGTTACCAGTTTAGATCTTAAGTGACACAAAAGGCCCCACGTGTGATGAAGTCTAAAGCCACATTGTCTGAGGGTGCTGTACTCCCTGGGCAGACCCACACAAAGTCCTGGCTAGGAAGCAGATCACTGGGGATGGCCTTGGGTGTATTAAGTGAGTTTTGGAGTCAGGGTCACCAAAGTGTGCGTATCACAATTGAACACCACGGTTCAGAAGCAGGCTAGAGAATGAAGGGCAGGAGATGAAACTGGATTGATCAATTGCTCTGAACTCTGTTAGAATAGATGTGGGATGTGAATGACCTTCCTAGAGAACTGCCTCCCTGAAGCCTGACATCCTCTCTCTCACTTCCAGAACACCGGGCCTAGGGGAGATGCGGATTTTCAGCACGAAGTTTATTCCAATGCTAATGGCAGACAGATACCAGGAAGGAGAAGAGGAGCCATTTGTGGAGATCAACTAGAAGAACCTGGACTGTTCTAAAAAGAGCTCAATAGAGTGATCACACTGTCCTCCTAGGGGTGGAGGGGCAGGGAGACGGTACTTCTATGAGTCTGTGGAGGACAGTGAGAAACCAGGGGTGTTTCTAGTTCCACCCCTTCCTGCGGCACCACCTCCCTTTTTATACTGCTGAGTTCCAGCCTCTCCAGGAGCATTTGAGGGCACAGTACAGGTGCTCAGACTGGCACAGAATTATTTGTAAAATATGAGTGCCATCGGATTGTAACAGGTAGCTTCATGCATACTATGCATTTTCGTGGTTTGTTTGGGAAGTGTTGGCCATTGAATTATTCCTACGTTTATTTCAAATAGTTTGGACATTGTTGTACTTTTGAAAACTTATTGTTCCTGTAGAGTTTTTGATAAGAATTATAGCTGTTACATATACAGAAATATAATTTTTTTAAGAAAGAATCCTGTTTATCCAAAATCTTTTATTAAATTGTTTTATCTATTATGATATGTGCTTCTGAAGCGAGCACTCTTTATGATACTTACATGATAATCTAATATATTTATAGCTATGTAGTAGTTCCGGTAAATCTTCTAACAGAAATTTTTATTTCCTGTTTAGGGTTTGTTACTGAATTGTGAGAATTCAGTTGTGATTTTTAACATGTCTTAGATATATAGTAATATGTTTAATATATACTATACATTTTATTGGTTTATTTTGAAAAAGATGGGCATGGAATTATTACTACGTTTATTTAAAGAGTTTGGAAATACTGTTTTTGAATTTCTATAAAGTTGTGTGATGGGTGTTATAGCCATTATGTATATATAAATATAATTTTGTTTTCCTTTTTAAGAGAGGAGTCTATCCTAAATCTTTTATCTGTCAACCTTTGTATGTTATTACACGTGCTCCTGAAGCAAGCCCTCTTTTTATCTACAATACCTATTTAATATATCTATTACCTGTATAGCTAAGCGGTAGTTCCCCTAAATTCTTGTAAAAATAAATTTTAATTTGATGTTTAGTGTATGATTTGAAATGCGAAAATTCAGATGCAATTTTTGCCTTGTATTGATATGTTTGTAAGTTACTTTGAAGAGGATGTGTGTTTTGAAGGAGGCCACGAGCTGTGTGTTTTCAAGGGAATAGTGCAGTGCATCTCTTGGGAAACGTAATAAACATGAAGTTTTCTCGCTTTCACAGCGAGTGCGATCAGATTGGTCTGGATTGCTTATTTGCTGTCAAGTGACATTTTTCCTTAATGAGGTTTTGGTTATTTGAACATATTTATTGGCTCTGGAAGATAATTCTGTATTTGTTTTTATATAGAAACAAGAAGTCTGGAAGCAGTGCTCACACCTATAATCCACCACTTTTGGAGGTTATGGAGGGAGGATCACTTGAGGCCAGAGGTTTAAGACCAGCCTGGGCAACATAGCATCTACATCTATTTTTTCTTAATATTTTTTTAAAAATTAGAAGAGAAGGCTAATTCCAAGTTAGAGTTTTGTTTTGTTTTGGTTTGGTTTGCAGAGACAGAGTCTCACTCTCTTGCCCAGGGTGGAGTACAGTGGTGTGATCTCAGCTTACTGCAACCTCAGCCTCCCGGGTTCAAGCGATTATCCTGCCTTAGCCTCCTGAGTAGCTGGGACTATCAGCACCCATCTGTATGCCTGACTAATTTTTGTAAATATTACAGACAGGGTTTCACCATGTTGGCCAGGCTGGTCTCAAACTTCAGACTTTAAGTGATCCGTCTACCTCAACCTCCCAAAATGCTGGGATTAGAGTCATGAGGCACCGCACCTGGCTGACCTTCTAGAGTTTTAATAACACAGATGTGGTTGAAGAAGAAAAGGAAGCCATGGTCTGTAGACAGCAGGAGCTTCATGAAAAGAGGCCAGTGAAGGGTAGTCCATGAAGTTCTCTACCTACAGAAAAGCAGCCCAGAGCTTCCCACAGGGACTTCAGCACAGAGGGCCGGGAAAATCTGCATGAACCTGAGCCCTGAACCTAAGACAAGACCCAGCCTTCACTGTTTCTGCAGACTCACAAGATGCAATCTGTGTGGTCCATGCTCATGGGGCGATCTGGAATAAAGGGGACCTCTTACCTATAATCCCAGCACTTTGGGAGTCTGAGCAGGGCTGATTACCTGAAGTTGGGAGTTTGAGACCAGCCTGACCAACGTGGAGAAACTCAATCTCTACTAAAAATACAAAATAAGCTGGGCGTGGAGGCACATGCTACTTGGGAGGCTTAGGCAGGAGAATCCCTAGAATCCGGGAGGCGGAGGTTGCCTTGAGCCATGATTGTGCCGTTGGACTCCAGACTGGGCAACAAGGGCAAAATTCTGTCTCAAAAAAAAAAAAAAAAGGAGCCTTCTAAATGCAAATAACATGGAATCGAATGTGCAGAAATACTGGCACTGATTTGGGCCACGGAAAGGCCCAAACAGTTTACTGTAGTCCATTGCCAAGGTCATCAGTGGGGTGACTCTGAAATAGTAAATTTCAGAAGCCATGGCCAAGATAGCTGCACGGGTGGGGAAGTCCTCCAAATGTGTCTGCTTCCTTCAGTAGCTCTTTATAAAATAAGCCGAGGTACTTCCCTGAGGAATTTTTTTTTCTTTTTTGAGACGAAGTTTCACTCTTGTTCCCCAGGCTGGAGTGGGATGGGGTAATCTCAGCTCAATGTAATGGCTGCCTCCCAGGTTCAAGTGACTCTCCTGCCTCGAACTCTCAAGTAGCTGGGATTACAGGCACCTGCCACTACACCTGGATAATTTTTTGGATTTTTTAGTAAAGATGGGTGCCACCATGTTGGCCAGGCTGGTCTTAAACTCATGACCTCACGTGATCCACCCACCTCAGTCTCCCAAAGTGCTGGGATTATAAGTGTGAGCCACTGCACCTGCACCTGCCTGGAGGATTTAAAAAACCACTAGAGATAGATATCACCTGAGTTCCGTAAGGTGGCGCCTAAATAGAAGAGGCAGGATATGAGTGCCTGCAAATGTAAACTGGGTTATTGTAAAAGATGTCCATGACTCCTTACACTAAGGGAAAGAGGCAGGACACGGCTTGCTCGTTGGCATTATAAGGACCCCATGATGAAAGGAAACAATATAATAGATCAAGTGGCTGACCACTGTGTCTATCATAAGAATATCAATGCTCCAACCAGACCTCTCATACTTCTTTTTTTTTTCTTTGAGACAGGGTCTCTGTCTCTCTCTCCCCACCCCCAGGCTGGAATGCAGTGGCACCATCTCGGCTCACTGCAAATTCCACCTCCTCGGCTCAAGTGATTCTCCTGTCAGTGCCTCCTGAGTAGCTGGGATTACAGGCACACGCCACCACGCCCGTCTAATTTTTGTACTTTAATAGAGACGAGGTTTTACCATGTTGGCCAGGCTGGTATTGAACTCCTGATCTCGAATGATCTACCCATCCTAGCCTCTCAAAGTGCTGGGATTAAAGGCATGAGCCACTGTCTCCAGCCCCTCCCATATCTCTTTTGGCCAAGGCAGTACAATTCAGAAGAACCATGCCAGGGAATACTGGCAAATGGACTTCAATGTGATGCCTGCGGCTCCTGGAGGATGTCCATACCTCCTGGTGCTTACTGATACCATCACCAGTTACCTTTTCAGTCCAGGCCAGACTGAAAAGCAGGATATCGCTAATCAACCTTAAACTATTTACTAGCAGAACACTGAGGGGTATGTGCGGTCACCAATACCTCCCATTGCACTTGGATAAACACCTCCCGGGAAATAGAGGTTCATATAAAGGAAATAGTCAAATAAGCAGAAAGGCTGCATTCCTTCAACCAGAAGCCTCCGTTCCTCTTTTTTTCACATTGCAATAAAGAACTACCTGAAACCGGGTAATTTATGAAGAAAAGAGATTTGATTGACTCACAGTTCTGGGGGCTGTACAGGAAGCGTGGCTGAGGAGGCCTCAGGAAACGGACAATCATGGCAGAAGGCAAAGGGGAAGCAGGTACATCTTGCCATGGTGGAGCAGGAGAGAGTGTGAAGGGGGAGGGGCCACACAATTTTAAATAACCAGAGCCCATGAGGCTCACTCACTATCACAAGAACAGCAAGGGGGAAGTCGGCCCCCATGAGCCAATCACCTCCCACCAGGTTTCTCCCTCAATAATGGAAATTACAATTTCACATGAGATTTGGGTGGGGACACAGAGCCAAACCATATCAAGGGTAGTTCACCCACTGAGATTGATTTATTTATTTAGAGATGAAGTCTCGCTGTCGCCCATGCTGGAGTGCAGTGGTACAATCTCAGCTCTCTGCAACCTCTGCCTCCCAGATTCAAGCAATTGTCCTGCCTCAGCCTCCTGAGTAGCTGGGACTATAGCACATGCCACCACCACGCCTGCCTAATTTTTGTACTTTTAGTAGAAATGGGGCTTCATCATGTTGGCCAAGGTGGTCTGGAACTCCTGAGCTCAGGTAATCTGCCTGCCTCGGCCTCCCAAAGTGCTGGTATTACAGGCATGAGCCACCACATTCAGCCAACCACTGAGATCACCTGGTTTCTTCCTCTGCTGGGGCCCCTCATGGCCACTGTTTTCCTGTTACTTTACTTTTCTTTCTCTTTTTTTTTTTTTTTTTTTTTTTTTTGAAACAGTGATTTGCTCTTGTTGCCCAGTCTGGAGTGCAATGGCACAATCTTGGCTCACTGCGACCTCCACCTTCCAGGCTCAAGCCATTCCTCCTGCCTCAGCCTCCTGAATA